AATGTGACCACGGAGTTTAGACAAACATCAAAGGATGCCGTTTTCATTCATTTCAGAGCTGGTAGTGAAATTCAAAATTTAAGATTGTCTTGTAAATATAAAAGTATTTCTCAAATTAGTAAATAGGTACCTAAGGCTAAAATACTTCTTTAGCTTGCCTTTTTTACGTCTTAAAAAAGTCGAAGATATTTAATGATTTAATTGCTATTCAAGCCCAAGATGAACAAATCCGAAAAATGTACAGACTATGTTTATGTAAATAATATTGATAAAGAATCAAAATCCTCACCGGATGTTTGGTCGGAGTTTAATGCGACAATAATACGAACGACTAACGCATGTGGATTATTTTATTCCCATTAAAATTAAATGTTTTATTTAGCACATCCTAATATATATTGAATAATATATATTCAATATATATTCAATTTATTGAAGTTCTTAAAAGTACCTAAGTAGACATTTACGTCAAAATGAGAAGTACGGAAAAACGACGGGAATGTATTTTACAAAATGAACAATTTATAAAGGGAAAATAACTAAAAAAACATTAGTTACATAAATCGTTTTAACTTTGTCAAAATGTTTTTTATACATATTTACCTAAGAACATTTAGTAAGTTAGTGTTAAACAACATTAAATAACACATTTTAGATTCTGAGTTTAGCAAAGAATGTATTGGATATACAAAGATGTTTATTTTTATTTTATATATATATATATATTGTGTACAAAAATTCTACCAGAAATCTTACCCAATGTATATGATGTATACCCTTTTCTGAAAGGAAATTTTCTTGGCAGTTTTCCTAATAAAGAGAAAAAAGTGACAAAAATGTAAAAAAAAACAGAAAATTTACGAAACTAATACTATAGTCTTCTTTTTTAAATTGTGTTATTTGCTATGATTCAGTTTAAAATATTATTATTTTCGACTCTATGGACTTCAAAATTGGACAATAAATTTATATTTAGTTTCTTTTAGACGTGGTAGAATTTTCAAAATATTTATCAATTTTTGAGTTATTTATAGGCATTTTAATTTTGTGAGTTTTGTACGTAATTTTTGTTTTTAGGTAGATACTATTTAGTAAAATTGTAAAACTTAACAAAGATACTTGAAAATTTAACAGAAGGTTCTTTAAAGATCTTATTACTTTGTGGTCAAAAAAAAAATTGTGTTTAATGTAGTATTTTTTTTTATAAAGGAATTTTAATATTATATGTTGACAAAAATAATTTTTTTGTTTTGAACATTATATAATCATATATATATATATATTAAATATTATGTAAATTGCAATTTAAGAAAAATAGTAAAGTCAGAATGTAGAGGGCTAACTATTTTTTAAAATGGTAGTTTTTTGAAGTTTTAATATTTTGCGGACATTAAATGTTATTTTAAAAAACTCTATGTTGTCTTTTTTAAACTATGTTTGTCGTAGTCTAATAGTTATAGATTCCTTTTGTCAACCTAGGGATCACGAGTTCAAACCCGGGTTTCGAAAAAAATTGTTCGCTTTATGTTTTCCCTTTTACCTCAACAGGGAAAAAACAAATACATTTTATCTGTACCTAGAGACCCGCTATCACTAGCTCGGACAATTTTAATCTAAAAATACCCCTCAATCTGTTGTACAAACTTTTCTACCATACATTTTGCTCCGATTTTTTAGTGTAGCATTTTATTTGTTGGAAATCGGATTGGGGAGGTACTGTAGGAAGGTTATTTTTTGATTTTCTCAAGCGTTTTCCTAGCAAATCTGAAAAACTGGGAAAAAATATGAGAAAACCCGGGAAAAACGAAGAAAAACGTAAAAGTCGGTACAATATTAAACAAATATTATTAAAGAAAATATTTTATGTCTATTTAATTATTTTACCATAATATGACATACATATTGTTGATAAAGCATCACTATAACTGAACCCTGCTAAGAATCGTTTTTAGTAAGCAATGGTTTATCGTTGTTTGCAGATATTATTTAATTTCCCCTCTATCTCTTACATCCCTAACTTTTTACTAACAACAGTGGCTGCACTATTCGTGCAAAGTATGTCCGTCTTTTTAAAATCCTTGTTTTTTTTTATAAAATATTATATTAGTATTCATTAAAAGACCGGAGGCCACTTTATGAATGTTTTCCAAAATACAATTTTGTTAATCATACCCGTGTTTTATTTTAAATACAAATCACTGACAGCTTTAAGTCTATAAAAATAAGAAGGAAAATTATTTTGTATCGATTGTAAATGTTTGGACCCAACTAGCATATAACACGCCGAAATCCGGGAAACAACTAACATAGTACCCGAAATTCATTAATACCTAATGAATGTACTACCAATCAAAACCATGAGTGTCCAAGTTGCAGTTGTAATGGACAAATAAATTGCGATCGGCATTAGAACAGGACGAAATTCTTGTTCGTTCCATGGGTCCTATTAAGGACCTTGGTATATTATTTGATGCAAAACTAAAATTCGACTGACATTAGCAGTATTAAAAATAGATCGCATCAATTATTAGGTTTTATTAATCGTAGGTGTGCAGAATTTACCGATAAATTTTCTTTAAAATCAATTTACTGTTCGTTAGTACGAACCATTGTCAATACGGTTCACCTATATGGTTGCCTTATCAGTCAGGCAATAAATCTAATTGGAAAAAGTATAACAAAAATGTTTACGCTTCCTCTCAATCAAATGCTTTATTCCAAGAGAATCTCATATTTTATACAATCCTTTGTTATTTCTATTAAATCTTGAGTCGTTAGAACAGCGACGCATAAGTCGTGATTTATGTTTCCTATATGAACTTCTAAATGATAATGTAGATTGCTCTGATTTCTTAAGCCGTTTATCCTTCTATACACCAACTCAAAATACAGGATCAAAAAAAGTTTTTTAATTAAGCTTACAGGTTACCAACTACGCAAGTAACACTCCTGTAATAGAATTATGTAAAACGCTAATAACCTAGAAATTGATATGTTTAACTCGCCAAAATTACACTCATTTAAATTGTGTTGTTATTATCTAATTCATATCTCATAATTACGTTAAACTTTATATTATTATAACATTACTATACATTTGTATTACTTTTTCTTTTGTTATTATTATTATAATTGTACTGTATGTCATTATCGTGTCTATTGATATATGAAATATTTCTCTTAATTGTGTAAGATATATCATGGTCTTCCGTACACTGTCCATCCATCTTCGTGGCTGGTTTCCTGTGTATCCTCATCCCTTGCATTTCTTCGTTTATGATTCTATTAATTAGACTTCCATCTACTCTCCAAACAATCCTCATCTATATCAGCCTTGTACTACTAAGGAATTGAACCACATTTTCTCTTTTATAGGGATTTAAAAAGTGTACTTAATTAATTGTTTGATCTTATTTCCAATTTCTACTTTCCTTGATTGTATATTGGGCCATGTATTCTCCTCAATATTTTCTTTTCGAATCTTAGGAGCTTTTCTTCGTCACCTTTGGTCGTTGCCCAAGTTGCACCGGTATACAAAAGGACTGGTTTCACATAGCTAATATATAAATACTTTTTTGTTTTAGATTTTGAGTGGAGCGAGGAATGTATTGGTTTTACAAAGATATGTTTTTTTTTTTATGTGAACACTTTTTCTACAAGAAAGCATACAACTATCAAGTATAGCATGTTTTCTGAAATTAAATGTTCTCTGGGTTGTATTTTAGAAAAGTCATTTTTTGAAATTTTCATTAACATTCGAGATAATGAGGAAAACCTGGTTCTTTAGGTTAAAAAAGGTTTAACGATTAAAAATAAGGTTGTTATTGACAACTGTTTTTATTTATTTTTTTGTTATTATTATATTTTTATTACTTTTAAAACCTTTTTTAAACAATCATTATTGTCATGGAAACGCACATTGTTGTAATCATTTTATCATAATATGACATAAATTGTTGATAAAGCAACACTATCAACTGAACTCTACTCAGAATCGTTTTTTCGTTAGCTTACAGATACACGGTAAATTCAAATCTGTATTCCATATTCCTAAATGTCCACCTACAAAATTGACTGAACCCACGTACGAAGTATGTCCGTCTTTTTTAATTTTGACCTAAATAGGTTTGTTAGAGCAAACTAGCATCTGTTTGCCACGGCCAGCCTTATGTTTATCTCACCATACATGTTGTTTTGCTGGTCGAATGTCACCCTTAGATATTGAAAATCTCTTATCTGTTCTGGTGTCACCTATAGTTATGTCTCTTAGAGTTCCTATTTTTCTTGTCATGATGTACTTCTTTTTTTTATGTTAACTCGTTGTCCGATAATTTCCCCTGCTAAATTTATAAATAAGTGACGTAATATACTCCGATAACTAATATTAATTTACGTTAAATACTTTTTTCCAATTTTGTAGCCTAGGTATGACTTTGTGGACCACCATACAATATCTCGCGGACCATAGGTTAGGGACCACTGCTCTAAATCGGGTTGGTCTGTACATTTAATACATCAGTCAATGAATTCATGTGATCCCGCTGGTTTGGAAAGCGATCTGGTGACTGATAATGGGAGGGTTAGTGTTCATTTCTTTAATAGATAATTTTATCTTATCTCAAGAGGACAGTTATCGGAGTCTAGCGGTGTTATATTGAAATTCGTGGTACACCTGGCTACACTGAGTCCGATACCGCGTCGCATATTATTCCCTTGTTCAATGCCATATTCTTTATGAGTTGGTTATTCTGCGGATTTGTTTACACAAAGACAACCAAACAACATACGCGCATAAAAGAACATAATATAGGTTAGAAGCAACTCTTGACCAGTTAATCAAATAATATTATTGAACGGTAAGTATACTTATTACGTTTTATTTATTTGAAATTATTTCGTATCACGATCTACACAAAATAATAAGTACTATGAAGGCATTTGTCTTTATTACGTGTCTTATGTCTGCGGTTATCGTAAACTCTGAGCGCTTCCCGAACGAAATGGGAATCGTGTACTCCAGGACCGAAGATCATTGGTCTGATTTTAAAGTACGTGCTTATGGAATAAATAATTTAATTTATAAGGAATTTCAATTGTTTCATTTTTTTTTTAAAGTCTAAGTATAATAAATCGTTTGCGAGTCTCGAAGAAGACACTTTTCGTAAAGTTATCTTTCTGAAAAATACTGTCTTAATCGCCAAACACAATGAATTGTACAGAAGCGGTCTATCAACGTTCTCATTGGAAATGAATAGTTTTGGTGATTTGGTATGTATTGGTACTTTTGTCCCGCTTTTATAGCCATTATTATTTCAAACTAAAACTATTTTTTATTTTATTTTTGGTATAACTATCAGTAACTATTAATTTTAGTTTAGTTTTAATTTAATTTAATTATAGCTACCATGTTGCTATGTACTATATAATACAAAATAATAATAGTTATCTACTTATAAGTAGGGATACATTGTGCACATCGATGGTGAATTTAAGGGGGGGGGAGTGCCAGATAGCCCATTTCTTCTCCGAATGATTTAACGTCCGGATTAAAAAATTAGTGACGTGTGGTATTTATAAATTATTAACAAAATTAAAAAAAATACATATATAAATTAAGCACCTACATCTATAGTGGAGAGTTTAACCTATATTAAACCACCTCAATATTTCTACTATCAAAATATATCGATGACGATTAAAACGATTAAAACCCGGTAAAAATTGTTTATACCCGTCTTACAACGTCTTTGGATCATTCACATGTGCTCCTATCAGTTTATCACACAAATTGTTATCACATTTATAAAATTCGTTATATTGATGTTAATTTTTTTTTAATCGTTCGTAACTCGTATGAGTGTAAGTCTATAATTAAACTAACCACAATTGATGTAGTGTATATTTTTTTCCGGCTATTAAGTACACATTCTGTTATTTACTAATGAATTTAATAACTATTCGTTATCGATAGGTGAGTAATAAGTTTTTAAAATATTATCAAGTTACGTTTATTGAATCACTGAATGTTGTCTTATTTGGTCTATTTCATTGTCAATTTTATTATTTGAATAAATTTTTTTATTATTTACTTGTCATGGCAAAGAGGAGTGGATACCGAAAACGGACTGTACGGCCATTGATGTGAATATACCTAAATTTCCCTATATTGTTATGTTACATCTATTATATTTTTAATATTACATCATTTTTAATTAGATATTTAAGCCAAAGACTGACATTTAGTTTTAAATAATAAAATAATAAAAAAAAAATCAGAATTATTAAATGGTTAGTAGTACTCGTAAATAATTATATAAATAAATAAACAGAGTATTATGATATTATGTGTATCAAATTAAAAATTCATCTTTAAGTAAAATCACAAAGTCAAAAGTCCTGTTTTACTTTTTGACTGATTTTACCTGTTGATGAATTTTTAATGTAAAACTGGTTTACTGAAAATACTCTTTATTTATTTATATATTTGAAATACCTAAGTGTGATACCTACAGATTACCTATTCATTTTAACTAAAAAAAAACTGATTTTGTTTTATTTATAAGTAGAGGTTGTAAAATAATAAAAATAAAATGGTTTTTTTTTATGAACTGAGTTTTGTTATTTAATTACTTCATCTATTAGCTGAACAAGAAGTCAATAATTTATTTTATTTATTTCAAAATTATTTGAGAGTAAAACAATTAAATTATTAAGTAAGTATCTTAAAAAAAGATCACTGCTTAATATGTTCTAGTCTATAGGTATGAGGATGGTCCAATTAAAGATATTGAGGTCCAAATTAAGCAACCGGTTGCCAAAGTTGGACATCTTAAGACATTTAAAAAAAAATGTGCAGATAAAATGTAAGATAAATAAAACCAATTGTGCTAAACTGTTACATGTGTGAGTATCATTTGAATACAATAACTAACATTTATAACTTTTATGATTTGTTGAGAAATTCCAAATCATTCAAGATGGTCCAATATAGGTTACTTTCCCCTAATAAGTATTTTTTTTTTTTTAATGTGTGTAATAATATTATGAAAAACTTTAGTTCCCCTCCCCCATAGTAAAACAAATCCTAGGTCTGTCACTAGACTGGAGTATAGATTTATAATAATTAATTTAAACTAATTTAAATTGTGTTTTAGTTGCAATCTGAATTCATTGATAAGGTTAACGGATTCAACTATAGACTGGTCACCTCTATTAAAAATTATCCCTTTGGCGATGCTTCGACTTTCGACCTGCCCACAAATTCAAAAGTTGAGAAATCTATTGACTGGAGACAAAATGGTTACGTGACCCCTGTCAAAGACCAAGGCTCATGCAGATCTTGTTGGGCATTTAGTGCTGTAAGTTTGATCAAATGGTGTATTATTAAGTTATTACAATAACCTAATACATTTGTCATTTTGCAAACAAATGTGTCTTATATTTTATATAAGTAAAGATTCTGTTTTAGTTTCTGAGCTAGAGAATTTGACCTGTGCTTAAAGTGAAAAAATAAATAAAAGAGGACCACGTTATAAAGGAACAATATAAATTAATTAAAAAAATTGTCTACCTTAAGATTTAATTGTCATGATATAAGGTACATTCAGGGTCGGTGATAGGGAAATGCATGGATGATAATACCCCCTCCCTTAAAAATTTAAATCTAAACTATTAAATCTGTAAGTTGGTGATAATTTAACTTCAAATTCGGCCAAACTAATAATTTTTTAGTTTTTGTTTTAATATTTGATTACATAATTACCATGTTATTATAATTGTAAAATTTATAAGGTACTTATGAAAGAACAAAAAATAGGTAAAATAATTATTTGAAGTCAATAAATTAAAGTGTTTGCAGCTGATAATTATGAATTAACCTATACTAAAATTGTTTAAACAATTAAGGGTACTCCAATCCTTGCAATCCCCCCATATAATTAAAATACTTTTTTTTATTAAAATGTGTATTTTTTTATACTTTGAGACTGTAAATTACTTTTTGACTAAAAATCTAAGGGAATAGTTTCTGGTATCAAATTTTATCTAGTTAGTGGGTGGGAGATGTAATTTTTTGATTTTCATTATAACTTTGGGGAAAACTAAGACATAAGGTAATATTTATGCATTAACACGTTACAATTAATTTTCGATTTTTTTTTTGTTAATCCTAGAAGTCAGAAACATTATTGAGTAATTTATAACTATTTAAAATTGTCAGTTTAATAAAAAAAATTTAACCCAGTAAAAATACTCCTAAAAAAAGAAATCCAAGTAATGCTGATGGCTGTTCTACTGTTGTAGGTGGGAAGTTGTGAAGATAGAATACACTAAGTAATTTAATTGATAATAAATATAATATTACAGACTGGATCGTTGGAAGGACAGCATTTTCGGAAGAATGGTACCCTAATATCGTTCAGTGAGCAAAATTTGATAGATTGCTCTAGAATGTATGGTAATATGGGTTGTAATGGAGGTATGATGAATCTAGCTTTTAAATATATCAAAACTAACAAGGGACTTGATACCGAAAATTCATATCCTTATAAAGCCAAGGTAATTTTTTGAATTTCTTCTAACACTAATACATTTATACATCATATTAATTTGAAAATATTTACAGGATGATAAGTGCCAGTATAATCCTAAAAGTTCTAGTGTTAGAGACATGGGTTTTGTAAATATTCCCGATAATGAAAACTCTCTCATGAACGCTGTAGGTACAATAGGCCCGGTGTCCGCTGCTATTGATGCTTCTTCTAGCAAATTTCAATTTTACAAAAATGGTGTTTATTACAACTTTCAATGCAGTTCCACTCTACTGGACCACGCTGTACTCATTGTTGGTTATGGTAATGATAGTAAACATGGAGACTACTGGATTGTTAAGAATTCATGGGGCACACAATGGGGAAAAGATGGTTATGTATTAATGGCGCGAAACAAGAAAAACAACTGTGGAATCGCTACTAGTGCCAGCTATCCTGTAGTAGTTTAAATTAATATATATTTTAAATTCCTACGATTTTAGTATAATCTCTTTGAAATTAGTAATATTTTATTATAAGTATAATATATGTATATTTTTTTTAATCAACATTTCATTGTCAGAAATATATTCATACAAAATGATTTGCCCTTATAAAAACATAATATGCAAAGCAAACTAATTTTTTTTTTTAATATTTGTATTAGACAGTAGTCAAAATAAAATGATTTGTAGAATTTATCTTTAAGTACTAATAATATTATTAATACTAATTAAATATTTAAATATTTTTTTTTATAAAAAAAACTATATTTCTATTTATGTAAGTTTAAAAATGAAACAACAATAAATAATTTCAAATAATATATTTTTTTTTGTAATCAAACTTACCAATTCCATTCTTTGTGGTATTTTAAAATTACCTAATTGATAATTAATTGTATAGTAATTTATTATTAAATCAAATAAGTAGATAATATTCTTTTTTAATTTCGTTTATGATTAATTTTTAATGTTTTTAAAACCAATTATTAAAAACTATTAGTATTATTGAATTTGATAAATGATCATATACCATTATTATAAATCACCCACTTAGATTCTTATAGTATTTTAACATGAAATATTTATATTGCATTGATATCATTTAATATACATTTTTCCTATCATACACATTTTAATGGTATGAACAGTTTCTTAAAAAATATTATGTGTTATAAAATTATAACTGTATACATGTAAATTCTGTTTATTATAATTAACTATATGGAAATTACTTTCTATTATTACTATAATACGAAGTATAATACAAATAAATATACAATTCAAATTGTCATAATATAATGTGTAAACTATTTAACATTGTTTGTTTTCAATTGATATATTTGTGTGCTGTGACATTATTAAACTATTTTATTTCATAATATTTAAATAATTGTTTACATTTGATAATATTGTTAGAACAATAAATAAGTAGGTACTAATTTAGTACAATTTTTAAAATAAAATTAATAGATATTCGATACTTAGAATTTATTAACTTGTAGGCTTGTATTTCTCAGAAATAAAATTGTATTCCTGTATAATAGAAATTCGAAAAAAAAGGATCTACAAACAAAACAATCTATAGGTATTTAGATACTTTTCTATAGGTTATAATTGTAAAATGTTCTATTATAATATGCAATATAATAATTATTATATTAATAAACAAATTTTATTACTTAAGGAGTTTCACATTACTTTTTTTAAAATACCTAAAAAAATAATGTTTATATTATGTCTATAGTTTCCATAAATGTATTACTGGTATGGTATCCTAGAGATTCATATATAGTACCTATATTAGATATATTAGATATTAGATAATAGTACTATAAAATAATGCATATACGAATAGGTATATTATAATTTAATTTAATTAATTGACATGTGCAGAACAAACACTATATCTCTCATGTATACAGTCTTGTAACTTATAGGTATAGACAGAATAATAATAATATTCATTATAGTAGTACAACATAGTAATGCATTACTTTGGAGGCATTATTATTACTAGAGCAATTTTTTTAAATTTAAGTTTCCTTTAAGTGGCCATTAGTGTATTATTTTTTTTTAAATTCACAGCTTTTGATTCTTAAATTGACTTTATCCAATAATGTATCATATTTTTTACTAGTTAATAGTTATGTATAAAATATTTTTATTATTTTTCAATTTGAAAACACAATTTATGCATATTTTATGGGATATATTAACAGAATATACTTTATGCCACAATTATTATGCTATTGATATTGTATAAAAAGTTATTGACCTTATTTAACCTAAACTAACCTGCTCGTGAAATTATTTCCAATAGACCTGGATATCATTGTACTAAATCAATCTATTATTAAACTTTTTCCATATCTTTAATTGAAAACATAATTGTAGGCAAGATAAATTGTGTGTGGATTATATTTTCTATCAAAAATATTACAGTTTATAGACATGGTAAATATTTAAAAACATTTCATCCATTTTTGACCTATTTATAGGTACATTTAAATTTTGTGAGCTTTTTACACATTTTTATTTGGAAAGTATTCTGTAGATTATTTACATTAGACTAAATAAAAATGCTTGGAAATTCAACAGGCGATTCATTACAAGTTTTACTGTATGGTAAAAAAACAATTTAGTTTAATGTAAGTAGTATTTTTTTTTTCAATAGTTAATTTTAAATTTTGACGAAAATCGTAAATAATACGGCCTTTCAAAACATATACATAAATTAAATAACTTAATGTATCTTATCTTTCCAACTTCCTATCTAAAACAGAAACACACCCATCAGCAGTACCAGCTCAACTAATGTGGATTCACGAGTAAAATTTTTATTGATTATTACTAATAATCAATAAAAATTATATGGTAACCTAATAATTTATTAGGTTACCATTCTAAAACCATAACAACCACAACTCATATTAAATATTTATTCAACTCACAATCGGTTTTTTTATTTTATTATTAACAACGATTATTATGATTTGCTAACTTATCATCAAGCAAAATTAAAAAATATAAGTACTTGTTAAATTTTCTCTAAATTAAATTTGTATTTCTCTTTCTTTTTTTTTATATTTTGAGTGTAATGGTTAGATTCCAAGCATAGCAGGGAGCTATTGGTTTTACTATGTTTATTTTTTTTCTCTTCTAATCTGTGGAGACTTTTTTCCTTAGTAAACTTGCAATTTTTACGTGTAGCAACTTTTTGGATAGGTCAAGTTGTCTAAATGGTACTTTGAAGAGGTAATTTTTTTTAATAAAATCACTTAGTGGGAAAAAACGTAGAAAAATGTACAATTTCACAATTTTATTATTATTATTACTATTATTATCACTATATATATAAAAAAAAAAAAAAAAAATGATTTAATCGAAAAATCACAAAATACTTCTTTTGTTGCCGTTTTCATTTACTTTCTTAGGATTTAATTGCCAAAATTTTGAGCAACTATTGAACTATTAAAGAATTTTAATTTTTGGCAGTTTTATTGCTGTAATTCCATTATAAATACACGTAGAAACTTGAAATTCGATAATAATACTTATATTGGACTTTCTTAGATGTGGTAAAATTTCCAAAAAAATTGAACGACTTTTTTAATAAAGGTTTTGAAATTTAATTTAAACGAAAATCGCAAAAAAAAATTACGGCACTTCAAAATATGTATTACCGAACTGCGCTCGGAATCGCCCTTCCTCTAGCAATGGTTTATCGTTGCTTATAGATATAAATGAAATAACCTTATGTATCCTACATTTGCAACTTTTCACCTACAACAGTGGCTGCTCCCATCCCCAGTATCACCTCTTTTTTTATTTTTATACTTGGTTCAATATGTACGTGTGACACCATTTCTGAAATATAATATTGTCTATGTGGTACTTTAAAAAAGAAATTTTTTGATTTTCCAGTTTTCATAATATTTGGGAAAACCCAGGATAAAACGTGAGAAAAACGGGAAATTTACGAAAATGTTTTTTAGTATTTTGCAATTTTATTTTTTTTAACGAAATTTAGTTTTAAATAGTCATAAAGGCTTTAAATATTGACAGAAAATTTAATATTTACTTTTTCTAAGTGTGTTAAAATTTTCAACACATTTTTTGAGTTATGTACAGACATTTTATGTTTTCAATTTTTTTATGTAATTTTTATTTTATAGCTACCCTGTAGATACATTGTTAGACTACACAGAAATGCTTAAAAATTTAACAGGAAATTCATTGAAAGTCGTACTGTGTGGTCAAACAAAAATTTGAGCTCAATGTAGTATATTTTTTTATAAAGGAATTTTAGTATCAAATTTTGAAAAAAATCGTTAAAGTAAAAAATTATGTGAAACAAATCTTCAGTTGCTGGTTAATATAAATTATTTCAATATCTATTTATTTTATTATAATATGATAATATATATTTTTCAAAAGGCAATACTATTAACCGTCCTCACTCAGAATCGTTTTTTGTTAACAATGATTAATATTTACTTACAGATATAAATTAAATTCCCTTTTATACTCTATCTTCCTAACTTCTCATTTACAACAGTGGTCCATCCATAGTACGAATAATGTGCGTCTTATTTATTTAGTACATCTTTAATATTTTTAGATTCTAAATGTAACAAAGAAGCTTATGGTTTTACAAAGATGTTTGTATTTTAATTTTTTTTTTTTTTTCATTCGTGCGCGACGATTCTACCAGTAATTTTACTCCAATTTATAATAATAGCAATGTTTCTAAAAGGAAATTTCACCGGAGTGATACTTAAAAGAGGTTATTGTTCAATTTTTCAGGAGTTTACTCATCAAAAATAAAAAACTGAGAAAAAACGGGAAAGTATAAAAATGTAGATATTAGTTAAAATATATTACGGCCTTCTTTTATCCTAGGACGTTTATTTTAATTATAATTGTACCTAAATATTATATTTCCACGATTATGAATAATACTATTACCGTCCATAACTTCGCATATTTTTATACCTGTGTTAATATTTTTTAAAAGTACAATTAAATTTTAGATAAACAAATTTACTTTATAATTTCAATTAGATTATCAAGTCTCATAATATAATTTCCACTTACATGGTTTCTCCAAAGAAAATTGTTTTAAATAAAATATACATACACATATTAATAAACAATTCCATATTAATTGTAATAATACTATTATGATGAATAAACATTGTATAGCGCTTAATTAAAATACCCATAATAAAATGACAAAAATTAGATATCTTTTAGTTGATAATAAAACCAAAACCAAAAATTTCAAAGAACTTACAAGAAGTAACGGAAAAAATAAATTCAACAAGTTTGATAGTTCATAGATAAACTATTATAATATATCACAACATAATGTGTATAATCAAAAATTGAAATATTTAAGACTACAAAACATTATAAGTTATAACAATAGGTAAAATGAATAAATTTTGAACTAAGATTGTTACTTAAATTTCTTTTTAAATATGCATTTTATTATTTACTGAATCATTCTAAAAGAATACAAATTATTAAAATGTGAGAACAATTATGGTCATTTCGATTCTCTACAATTTTACTGACACAAATACTGAA